GAACTCATGCATACATATTGGTTTACTGGCTTTAATTACCGGTTTGCTTTTATAGAAATACAACATCATCAACCTTAAATTACTGCATGTTTAATATGGTCATGAGATGTGCTGTGGGGGAGATATCAGATTTTATTTGGATCCAGTATGACTTATTTGATGACTTGTCAAATTTTTAGTCGAGGTAAGCTGTACAGCATGATTAAAAATAGAAAGGCACCAGCAAGGGAGGCCTTATGTGTCAGTAAGCATAAACAGATGACAGAGGCTTCTGGAATACATATAAGGTGGTCCGTGTCCCTGTGTGATTGGCTTATTTAATCAGTAATGTGTGGCTTGTGTTATAACCACATTCACATGCCCAGGTTTACTTTGTGACAGACACAGTGATTCGTGAACAAATTAATTTAGAATGCATTACTCATACTGTAAGTGTTTGAAGAAACCTTTGGGAAATGTTTTGGCATGCATGTTTTAGCTGTGTTTCCTTGCTACAGTAAAAAGACAATTTTGTTTATGTACTGCTCATGTTTGCCAGCAGCTCCAAAATGCTTTGCTTCAATGGAGATAGTAGACAGTATGGCATGCTTAACTTTCCACAGTCAGAGCCTTAGTAATTAGTGATTTAGAGAGAATTAAATGTATAAGAAGTTAAATACTTTCGGTTATAACAGTATTACATCAAAGATACAGCTTTATGTTCACTTGCAGTTCCTTGAAATTGAACTTTTAGTAAGTGTATTGTACATTTCCATTTGTATTTTTTTTTATTGCCTTGCCTTTTTCAACTGAGCTGGATACCATCCCAGAGCAATGCAAGTGTGGGGAAAACTATCCAGACGAAAACATATGATGGCTTTTTGGCATTTGTTGTTAAATGTACCCATTAAAGTTTGGTTACAAGATGCATTTGGACATCTTATTATCAACACACACTAGTCTGTATGAAGGAATATTTTTATAACTGAAAATAGTGTGGAAGTAAGAAGCCAAACTAAGGCATCATCAGCCTAATTTGAGTGTGAATACTATAGAGTCTACAATAAGAACTAACCATAATCAGCCCGACAATTACTCTAATACGGCCGATGGGACGGGTGTGGAGAAAACGAAGGACAGCATAAAGTTTGGACTTTTAACTCTATTTTCAAAAGTTTTACAATATTCCTAAGGAGGACCTCCTTTATTACCATTCATACTACACCATGGTCAGTGTATGATAATGTCTGTGTATATAATTACTATGAGCATTCATCACATACAAATAAAATATTTAATTCATACTATGTATAACACCGAAAGCCTTTTTAATGGCTATGGAAATAAATGTTGACAAATGTTAACCCAGCTATCTCTAATGCAAAAAGCTTTTGGAAACACTTGGCAAAAGGGCTGTCCTCATTAACCAGGACAATGTCCTAATTCATAATTATTCTGAGGAAGCTACTGTGTCAGACATTGCATATCAAAATGTGACTTTCATAGAATAGACAGTAAATGATGCTGAATAAATATCATTAAATCATAATTTAAGATTTTATTGAATTAATGCATTTTCAGCTGTCAGTTCAACAGGTAGTTCATATTTTATGAACACTGTCAAAAGATTCCAAAAGATGTCTCTTATTCAGCCTTTTCACCCTGGAAAGAATTATGAAAAACATAATTATTCAACACATATTGAAAACTCTGGTCCCATGTGGTGTTGCACTATTGTCTACACCTTAAATTAAAGGTCTATGTACTAGTAAATTAATACTTTGGGATACTATAAAGAACAAAACCAGTAAACAAAGGTACATTTTGTGTAAGATCAAATTAAATGAATTACCTTTCCAACATCACGGCTCTTGGCTCTCAGTTTGTTGACCTGGGATTCAGCAATGTCAGCACGCTCCTGAGCTTCCTCCATCTCATGCTGGACCTTTCGCAGTCTGGACATGTGGGTGTTGGCCTGTTCCTCCTATTCAGTGTTACAGTATGTTGCATTGTTTAAAAAATATCTGATCATACAGCAGATAAATTAGTTTTGAACTTGTCACCCATTTTCAAAGTAAATATATTTCTAAAAGTGCTATTGACATGAAATTCTCATGAGATGTTGGTCCCTTTTGCATCTCTCTTTCTTTATGTGTTTGATAATTTCTGCCTGTGTCATTTCTCATGAAGTTGTGCTTCCCATTTGTAAAATTAAAAACTATTTTACTCACAGCGTCCTCAGCCTGTCTCTTGTAAGCCTTGACTTTGAGCTGCAGTTTGTCCACCAGACCCTGAAGTCTCACCACATTCTTCTTGTCCTCCTCAGTCTGTATAGATAAAAAACTGTTACTGCTGGCTAGAGAAGAAAGAGTTTAGGGACTTGAATAAGGTGAATATTTACATAAATATGTAATCACCTGGTAGGTGAGCTCCTTCACTCTCCTCTCATATTTGCGGACTCCTTTAACAGCATCAGCTCCACGTCTCTGCTCAGCTTCAACTTCAGCTTCCAATTCACGGACCTTTAATGCCATGATAAATAAATGTTAGAGTACAGAGAAAAAATGAGTTCTTATGAGACAATCAAAGTGTTACACTTAATAATAGCTGGACTTTATATAGAGTACATACCCTGGACTCCAGTTTCTGGAGCTGCTTCTTGCCACCCTTCATAGCGAGGTTCTCTGCCTCATCCAGACGGTGCTGCAGGTCCTTGACTGTGACCTCCAGGTTCTTCTTCATCCTCTCCAGGTGAGCACTGGTGTCCTGCTCCTTCTTCAGCTCCTCAGCCATCATGGCAGCCTGAAAATATGGGTGGTATTGGCATTATTGATCAAGCATGAACAAAAATTTTGAAAAGAAAAGAAGGCTTGTAAAGTACTAACTTACATCAGTGATAGCCTTTTTGGCCTTCTCCTCAGCATTTCTTGCTTCTTGAACAGCATCATCCACCTCACCCTGAACCTGGACAAATTCAGCCTCCAGCTTCTTCTTGGTGTTCAAAAGACTGGTGTTCTGAATGAAACAAGAAAAGAATATTTTAATGATGTGATTCTCACTCAATGGAATCACAAAGTTCTTGTAAATGAATAATATAAACCTGAGAGTGAAGCAGTCCAACACGCTCACTAGCATCAACCAACTCCTGCTCAGCTACTTTGCGTCCTCTCTCTGTCTGCTCCAGAGCGACTCTCAGCTCCTCAATCTCAGCCAGCATCAGACCATTTCTGCGCTCCACCATGGCGACCTGCTCCTTCATGTCTTCCTGTCCTCTGAGAGCATCATCCAGGTGCAGCTGGGCATCCTGATGACAAAAAAACAAATGATATTATGATTGTTTGCTTGGAGGTTAATTTAAAAAAACACAAACACACAAACGATCTACCAACTCACCTTGAGCTGTCCTTGGACATTCCTCAGTTGTTTCTGGGCCTCAGCAGCCTGTCTGTTGGCATGGCTCAGCTGAATCTCCATCTCATTCAG